AAAGCAAATGAAATTTTTAATTAATATATTACCACTTCCGTTTCTTGGGATTATTTATTTTATTAAAATCGCTTAATTTCTGTTCCTATTATTCTGTCCGATTATTAAAATCGCGGAACTTCTGTTCCTATTATTCTGTCAGATTATTAAAATCGCATAACTTTTGTTCCTATTATTCTGTCAGATTATTAAAATCGCATAACTTCTGTTCCTATTATTCTGTCCGATTATTAAAATTAACTTCTGTTCCTATTATTCTGTCCGATTACTAAAATCGCATAACTTCTTTTACTATTATTCTGTCCGATTGCTAAAATCGCATAACTTCTGTTCCTATTATTCTGTCCGATTATTAAAATCGCATAACTCCTGTTCCTATTATTCTGTCCGATTATTAAAATGGCGTAACTTCTGTTCCTATTATTCTGTCCGATTATTAAAATCGCGTAACTTCTGTCTTAAAATTTGTGACATTTCCAACTTAGATGAGCATTTAATCACATTGAATCAATTTTAAATAAAAATTAAACTCAAGAGAGGGAAAAAGAGCAATGAGATGGACCAGTAGCGGGGAGTAAAAAGAAAGTTATTGGGATTATTTATTTTATTAAAATCGCGTAACTTCTGTTCCTATTATTCCGTCCGATTATTAAAATCGCATAACTTCTGTTCCTGTTATTCTGTCCAATTATTAAAATCGCATAGCTTCTGTTCCTATTATTCTGTCCGATTATTAAAATCGCGTAACTTCGATTCCAATTATTCTGTCCGGTTATTAAAATCGCATAACTTCTGTTCCTATTATTCTGCCCGATTATTAAACTCGCGTAACTTCTGTTCCTATTATTCTGTCCGATTACTAAAATCGCATAACTTCTGTTCCTATTATCCTGTCCGATTATTAAATTCGCATAACTTCTGTTCCTAATTATTCTGTCAGATTATTGAAATCGCGTAGCTTCTGTTCCTATTATTTTGTCAGATTATTAAAATCGCGTAACTTCTGTTCCTATTATTCTGTCCGATCATTAAAATCGCGTAACTTCTGTTCCTATTATTCAGTCCGATTATTAAAATCGCGTAACTTCTGTCCTAAAATTTGTGACATTTCCGACTTAGATGAGCATTTAATCACATTGAATCAATTTTAAATAAAAATTAAACTCAAGAGAGGGAAAAAGAGCAATGAGATGGACTAGTAGCGGGGAGTGAAAGGAACTCTATCACAAAAACTCCGAAAATTATTAATGGACCTTATAATTCAGTCCGACAGGGCAAGGAGCAAATCCTTTCCTTCTTCTTCTTAATAAGAATTATTCATAAAATGAAAGCGATTCTTGAAAGTCTGACACCTTGAACTCGAAAGTTTCACTTGAAATTCAAGCACCGCAATGCGTTTTAGATATAACCGTGAGACAAGATCCACTTTTTTTATTAAGTTTCTGGTTCATGAGGTCAACCTAAGTTTCGTCATTGTAATTCATATGAATTGTGTTTCGCTATTCAAAGTCTTGAACCTCAGCACCACCGCGTAAAAGCGGTTCGCTTTTTTCTAGTCATCATTTTCCCCTGACCCCCCTTGGGATGGTAATCATTTTGGAAACTTCTTCATACGTCTCTTTGCATTTTTCTTGAGGAGTTTTGCTTATGATTACGCGTCAGGATTTTGTAAAACCGCTTTTAAAGATTATGTATTAGGATTATACGTGGGAAAGTTAAAGATAGTGCTGAGTGTCCCTCTATAAAGGTAAGCTCCCCTTTCATCAGTTTAAATGACAATTTTTAGCTACTTAAAGTTCCAGAGATCATTTTTTTCTTCTTTTTGTGATCTGTGATATGAAATATTTAAAATGTTAAGAAAAAAGAAAGGAAATAGCTTTCAGAATTTATTGAGCAAATCTAAGATTTATAGTCTTCGAAATGCTTCACAGTCAAAGTAAAATCATGAAGCTTTTTTATTCTGTAATGTATCATATTTCATCTGTGATGTATCATATTTCGTAGAACTGGGGATTCAGAAAAAATGCAATATGATTATTTATTCTTTAGATCTCTTAAGTTTTCTTTTTAACTTACCGAAGTAGTGGAAATTCTTCATTTTTTCAAGCAATGAAAATCGTGGTAAGACAACTGCTTGAGCTAATTGGAATTTTTTTACTGTTAGCTACCACAAATCGCTTTGACATGTTTTCAAACGGAATTTTTATGGGAATGCGAGTTCTAGTATTTTCAAAATAAACGCTTAAATTCTAAAATTTTGTTGCCTCAAGGTAAAAAATTCCGGATCAAATATAATAATATTATAAAATTTTATGGATTATACAGCTAGGGTGCCGGTATTTTTTACCGTAATTTGATCTTAAATTTTTTACAGTGTAGTCCTTATCTACTTCAAAACAAGCACTCTTACCCCCAGAAAAGACAGATTTGACATTTTATGCGTTACAATCTTTTATTTATTCAATGACATGGTTAGTAAATGATTATGAATTTTTCTTTATTAAATCAGGGTTTTCTCAAGATCATCACCCTCAATAAACACTTTTTTTTTCTTAAAGATGGAGGCATTGAGACCTAACACACCATTATGGTTTCAGCAAATTTTTTCGGTATTATGGTTCAACCTACCAATACTATGGTTCTAGGTTGAAATAGTTTTTCCTGATAGTGTGAAAATATACTCTTATATCGTCACCATAGCGGTAAAATTAAGAACAGGTCACATATTGTAATAAATAATAGGGAATTGTTAAGGAAAATTTGTATTAAAATATTTTTTTAAATTTATTTATGAGTTGAAAAACAAACATATTGTTTTAAACACTCATAACAAATTCAAATATTAATAAAGAGTTATGTTTCTTTTTTATACCACTATGGATGATAAATTTTTACACAAAACGTTTACTCAACATTCTCAATGCCGTCAATGATCAATTATTTTTGCACGATTTGGGGAAATTGAAGGCTATATGAAAACTCTTAATCGATTGCAAATAATGGGTTATCTGTATAATTTCTTTATCGATTACAGTATCGGTGTTTATGGCAAAAGAAGTAAAGTTGAATTTTATACATTGAAAAACAAAATAAATGTCAACCAATCATTCTTACGTTTTAATACCATATTATTATTGATGAATTTTATATTACGTGATGTTTTATTTAAATTGTTATTAGCATGATCTTGGAAGAGTTAAAACTCAAAATTATATTTAATTTGTTTGTTTTTTAAACCCGATTCTATTGGATTTTTTTTTATAGTTATCAACAAGGGTTTGCATAAATTCTTAAGTTTCTTGGAACCAGTACCAATTTTTAAAAGCAAACAGCCAGAAAATATTTAGACTTTTTTTTTTCTTAGTGAACATAAAAATTTAAATAAAATATTGGACACAAGCTAATAGTTTTTGGGAGCAATAGCAACCGAACCCTCGGGATTTTTATACAAATTGATAAGTCATTTTTATTTTCCATTTTTATGCTTGGCATTTTATATTTAATATAGAAATCAACTGTTAAATTGATAGTTATTATTGAAATCTTTAATAATAGTCTAAAACTATTATTGGATTTAATAGTATAATAATTTTTTTTCGTTCTTTGCCTCAGAAGATGCCGGAAGTGCTGCTCATTTAACGTTACCCATTTGTCACCCGCGAACCTTAGTCACAGAGGGAAGCAACACTACCCACTCCACACTGCCACAGATACTAGCTCATAGAGTGGGCCACATTCACACACACACAGATACATCCATGACCTGTGCGGGATTCGAACCCTCAACCAGTGCTTCGCAATCAGGCACGCTAGCCTCTCGGCTACCTGATCGGCATATAATATAAATATAAATAAGCCACTATGGCACAGTGGATTAGGCACTAAGCTGAGCTGCCATTGTAAATGACCGGAGTTACATCTCCTGGTGTAGCTTGAAGCCGACCTAGTTTTAGATTAATGGGTACTAGTCTGTTTGGGAAATAAAGGTGGCCGGTGTATAATACTGACCTCATTTCCACTATGATGTAATTGGTCGCAAAATTTTCGAACTTAATTTTCATTTTTACTTCTTCTTATAAAATAAATTTATTATTAATTTTTCCAAAATCATGACATCAATTGAATAACTTATTAAAAGACTGCATTTTTAATTTTTTTGAATAATCATGGCTATCATAAAATATTTTGAATGTTAAAACTTATGTTTAAAATTTAATTTTCAAAAGTTTTTTTTTAAAGTTGAGATAGTAATTAAAACGGGAAATTATTCACTACCTACTTAATCATGTCATTCATAAATCCTAATACTTGTTTAATTTTGCTCTTTTTTTATAATTTGTTATTTTCTGATGATAATAAAATAATACTGATGTATAAAAAATAATATTTAATTTGCCGTAACTGATAAACCTGAATATTTTTAGCATACACATTTTATTTATATTATATATCTTTGCTTACTCTAAAACCACTTTTTTATATTTTGTTTTATTTTAGAAACTTAAATCATCTGAAATTTTTTCTCAATTAGTGTAACCACTAAAAATTACGTGTGAACATTGTATCACATTCAAATGATCTATTTCGTGAGCAGTTATATTGGTTCAAAGTTCAAGTAGATCTTTGCGAAGGCACTACCAAATATTTGTGAATGTATACTAACTATTTTTTAGCATACACATTTTATTTATATTATATTTCTTGGTTTTTTCCTCGAAACCGTAGCTACATATGTGGATTTATTTTAGGAAACTAATATCATCTGAAATTTTTCAGCAATTAGTGTAACCACTGAAAATTACGTGTCTACATTGTGTCACATTCAAATGATGAATTTCGTGAACAGTTACACATTACATTGGTTCAAAGTTTAGGTAGATCGTTGTGGAGGCACTCTTAATGCCTACTTAATCAGTGCGATTATTTCTTATCTGTGCTCAAGAATTTAATTCTGTACTTAACTTGCAAACAAAGCCTGATGACCATGTCTTTTCTTCTAGGAATCAATGGGTTAGTAACAGGACTGTGATTGTCAAGTAGCTGTGTAACAAAATGACAACGAGTCACGATTTGTATCAGGAACTAGAGCTTTATCTTCAGAAAGCACAAGTAAGTGTTCTTCTTTTTTCTGTTTTTTAATTAGTAAAGGACTCCAATTATTTATATTTTGAGAAAAAATTAAATAATTAAAATTAATGATTAATTATTTTATTTATCAATTAATTCTTTCCATCTATTAGCGGTTACTAAATGACTGCGTAGAGTTAATATTTAAATTATCGTTTGAACTGTTTATTTTTACACGTATACAACTGAGAAAAAAAGCATGGTTAAAACTCTCAGGATATGGTAAAATTTATTGTGCATCTGGCTCTATGGGAACACCACAAGGCTCGTTAATTTTTACTGAAGCGCTTTGGTAACATTAACATTAAAATACAGCTTTTAATAATATGTAATAAAATTTGGTAAATGTGGTATAGTTTGGTAATTTTATCATGACATGATATATTCGAACGTAGTATAAAAAGCCTTTATTCGGTTATAGAACATAGTATGAAAACCCTTTATTCGGTTATAGAACATAGAATAAAAACCCTTTATTCGGTAAAAGAACATAGTATAAAAATCCTTTATTCGGTTATATTTACTTTTAAGTTTTTTTTCTTCTTTTACTATATGTATAGTAATAAGAACTATAATTTTGAAAACTAGAATTCTCCGTGAAAGTTTGTTAAAATCTACCAGAATATGGTAACATTTACCATTTTCTGGCTCTATGAGAACACCGAAAAGAGCGGTAATTTTTACCGAGGCGCTTTGGTAATGACCTTTGGTAAAATTAACAATAAAATATGGTTTTATTACCAGTAGTAAATGAGGTAAAATTTGGTAATTGTATCATGACGCCTTAGAGCATGGCATTGAAACCATTTATTCGCTTAAGTTTGATTTTCAGTTTTATATCTTTACTACATGTGTGGTAATAAGAACTATAATTTTGAAAGCCATAATTTCCGGTAAACCGTGATTATACGAACGAAAAAATTGCCAAATGAATGGTATAATCTTGTAATTAAATGGTTTGAATGGTTTAACTTAATTATGATTTTATCACAAGATTTTATGTATTTTAATATTTTTAAAAGATCACCTAGATATTTTAAACTTTCCTATAATTACGTAAACTATTATTATTTTCTTTAAATTAAAACTTTAAAGAAAATTTTTTTAGAAAATTAATAGAATTAAGAATGAGAATTCTTTGAGTAACATTAATTTTAATGGCTTATTAAAAAAATATCTTTAATCATATATTTATTTGTCCTTTCTTTTTTCATTCCTTTTAAGAGAATTTTACTTTCACGTTCTTTGGCGAAATCAGTTTTTGAAAAACAGAAATAATTATATAAAAATTGAAAGTTATTCAAAAACATTAAGTATTATTAAATTTATTTTGAGAAAGTTTATAAAATATGAATATATATACTTAGATGTTCATATTTGTTTGAACTGTTTGTTAACCTTTTGAAGAATGATTTTTTTTTAATGTTAAGATCAACATGTTTAAAAGCTTCAAAATGTTTTTGTTTCACCTATGTTTATCCGGTTTTGCAAATGACATCAATTTTTGAAATTGTTTTCGTATAGACCACCAATCATATTAAATGTCGTTTATCCTTGTGAACAGGTAGTTTGGAGTTGATGAAGGTCATTTAAATAAGAAAAACATGATGAACACCGCCATTTTTTTTTTCAATTCTAACTAGCCATTATTTTCTTTATTGTTATATTTTTTATGCATTTTAAATTTGAATTTCTGAATTAAAAAATGTTAAAGTTCCTGTCAGTTTTCAATAATTTTTCAAACCATCTTTGTCTTGGCTCTTACAGGATCGATTTTTTTTTGTTCATTTATCATTTTATATTTATTTTTACTTTACTTAGTGAGTTTACGCTAAGACTTTCATATAAAGTGAGTAAAATAAATTTATAAGTGATAATTTATAAGCGTATTCTAAAGTGAATAGAATAAATTTTTAAAGTAACTTATTGAAAAATGCACTTTGGTTCAAGGATATCTCAAATTTAACATCAGGTTTATTACCTACGCTTGTCACCTTTAATTATTTGAATTAATATTCGCTTGAAATCTTTTGAAATGAAATAAATTCGTTTTGTTACATTGCCTTCAACTTTGAAAAATTCAGGTAAAAAAATGGCTCCCTGAGGGTTGGTACTTTTTACCATTGTCGTAAAAGTTTACCCTACAAAAAATCAAATATACCGTAATATTTACTGTAATATTTACTGCAAAATCACTGTTTTTTAATAAGTATTACTGTAAAAATTACAGTATAAAATTTTACCGTAAAAATGGACTGGATAGATATAAAATAAAAATGGAATTAAATGGATTTTATGGATGTTGCTTTCGGGGTGCCAGTACTTTTTATCGTAATTTGATCCGGAATTTTTTACAGTGTTGCTAACCAATTTACTAGTGTGATGCAAAAAAAAAGTCTTAAAATCATTTAATAAAATGCCACGTGATTTAAAGTACATTAATATTAATTTTTTGATCAATGTATTTATTAATACTAGCAAGGCTACAGTCACTAAAATATCACTTAATTCTGTTTTCCACTAAACTTTCTAGCTACTGTATTATAATCAGTAACAGTGTTATTCAGATCTTAAGTCTAAATTCAGAAAATGTATCTATACAAAGAATTATTTTTGAAGCAATGGTATTACTTCCAAACTGCACGCTGTTTAAGTGGGCTTTAATTTTTGAAAAATATTGAAACTTCTTTATTTTTTATACACTAAATTGAATAAAAGTGTTTTTTGTGTCCTTTTTGGTAAAATAATATTATGAATCCCAGTTACTTTAACCCTTTTATTTAAATTTCAAATTCTTTTAATTTCCAAAATTGATTTCCTTTAAAATTCGATTTTAAAACATGGTGTTTCTAAGTCTGCAATTCTTGTGCTTTCAGTTTAGTTTATGACCGTTAATGATACAGACCATTTAAAAAATACATTTTTGTGAGAAAGAAAAGCGTTTAATAAATCCTTTTAAGCATTAGATTTAAAATATCCTATTTACAAAATATATTTGAGTAAACTATGTAGATAAGGCTATGTAGATAACTTTCTTTGTTAAAATTTTTTGTTATCATTCTTCAGAAATGATAGAATCACTTGCCGATAGAATTTCATATCGTTTATTTCATGTTATTTTCTCAAAACATTTTTATAGTTATCGCCAACAATTTTAAACTATATTTTCTAAAGCAAACAATCGTCATAGTTTCCAACATGTTATTTGGTATACTTAACAAAACAAAAAAAAGAAAACTTTTAAAAATAAATTCCTTAAGCCTGGAATTCATAGGGTCAGAGAACTTGAACAATTAGGATGTTGAGGCTCTTGATCTTGTTATATTGGTCTTGAGATTGTTTAAGTATATGATTTGGGCATAAATGACGATTTTCAAATTGTTGCGTTCCTCTATAAGCGTAATAGGTTTTATAGGGAGCGCCTTTCTATTTAAATAAAACTCACCACTCCTTTCTTTAGATTGAGTGAATTACTTTGATCAAAATCGTTGTGAATTAGTTCTGAACAATAAGACGAAAATATCATTATATAACATGGCTAATAAGTTAAGATATTGGAATGGAAATAGTCCATTATTGTACTACATTATATAAGTTGCTAATCTGCTTACAATCTTTTACTAACCTGCTACAGTATATAAGTTTTCATCAATAAGTTTCTAAAAGTTAATTTCGTATAAGTTTTTTAATTTCGCATGGATAACTCTTAACATTTTCCATGGATCATTTGGGGCAATATATTAAAGGGCGTTTCGATATTTTTTGTCATTTATAAGCTCATTATATAGTTCAAAGTCATGACAAAGATATTTTAAGTGACAGTTATTTTCTTTCTATTGCTAATTCTATGAACGCTAAAATGGAATTTTAAAAGACTAACGAAACAAAATTTATCTTTGAAAAATCTTTTACTATGAATAGTTTATCATAAAAAAATCGCATATATATAAAAATCTCAATGTTGAATGTTTTGATTCTTATGTTGATTTTTCTTTCGCACGGCAAAATAAGAGCATAATCGTCTTGGAAAATTCCATCTCCTGCAGGGGACAAAATTTGCACCATAGGATAGACCTGGTCAGCTGAAACTTCTCTATTATTCTGTCCTTACACCTTTCGTTTCAGGGTTATAAATGGGCCAGCAAAAAACCACGACACAGCTGCCTATACCATAACAGATCCATTTTCAGGATAAGTAATTGGAATTAGACAATCAGGATCATACGCATCTGAAGATGTCCTCCAAATGTATAACCGTCCAGTTGTACCGAAAAGTGTGAAAGATGATTTATCTGACCATACTCTGTCTTCCACTTATCAATCGACCAGGTTTTGTAGCTTGACGCCACTGCAGACAACGTTTGATATAAATAGCTTTGACAAATGGATCGGGATTGCTGCTCTGCCGTGAATGTTATTCTTATAAAGTGACCCCTTAGCTGTGATTACTGACACTGGAGAATCCAAATGCTGATTGAGCTCTGCTGTCACTTTGGCTGTAGTTTTCTTTTTAGACCTTACAATACGTTTCAATATCAGTTGATATCTGTTGTTCAGTTTCTGCTTTCTGTAATTTCTGACACTGGAGAATCCAAATGCTGATTGAGCTCTGCGGTCACTTTGGCTGTAGTTGTTTTCTTTTTAGACCTTACAATACGTTTCAATACCAGTTAATTTTTTTAATTTAGCTTCTGCTTTCTGTAATTTCTGACACTGGAGATTCCAAATGCTGATTGAACTCTGCTGTCACTGTGGCTGCATTTGTTTTCTTTTTAGACCTTACAATACGTTTCAATACCAGTTGATTTCTGTTGTTCAGCTTCTGCTTTCTGTAATTTCTGACACTAGAAAATCCAAATGCTGATTGAACTCTGCGGTCACTGTGGCTGCATTTGTTCTCTTTTTGGATCTTACAATACGTTTCAATGCCAGTTGATTTCTGTTGTTCAGCTTCTGCTTTCTGTAATTTCTGACACTGGAGA